GATATTGGGCTTTCTCTCCGATCTGAAGGATAACTTAAATAAAAAATTTCCTTCTGCAGAAAACCTTAAGAATTTAAATGTCTTTCTTTTTGCATTTGAAGGTTTAATCTGTAATTTTTAAGTAATGAATAATGTGGAATACATGATCGTGAAAAATGATGAATAATTCGGTCGAGATCATGTTTCAAATCTTTTGGCAACCTTCAGGTGGGTAAACAAACATTCCGTTCTTTAAAATTCGACCAGAAAATGCTTAGCGCTCAAATAGTTTGAGCTATATTATTTGCTGTTGCTGAAAATCAAACTAGGTTTGGCGAACATAATTGATCCTTTTTTAAAAAACTATGAGCTACTGTGCGACCCGGGTGTGTGAGTAATATATCGGATGATTCAGCGAGTAAACACTGTCTAACTTGATTTGATCGAACAATAAAATTAATTCTCAAGGTCGCACAAAACTACGCCCACTGAATTTTCCTTGTATTCCGTAATTTGCAGACCCTTTCTGGCTCAGATTATAGTTGAAATACAAACTTCAATTCAAGATGAGCAGAGAATACGTAACATTGGGTGTTCAACGAGAATCGCTGCTAAACAATCCACTTCTACAAAAGGTAAGAAACAAGCCTCACATTTCCTGACCTTAAAATAAAATCGCAGGGGGTGGTGGGGGGCAATTCCAGTTTAAAATTAATGGGGATTTAAGACTTTATAAATCGATCAGGACTACAGTGAGAAAAAATTCTTACCAAAGCAATTTCAGAAAAAAGAAACAGCAGCAGCAGTATTTCTTTCATACCGTGTATTGTTTGTTTTTTTTTTAATATATATAGCCCTGAAGTAATAAAATAATCAGTTGATTTTCCTGGATTTCTTGTGTTGCTACTTCCAATGGAATGTTACTGTTATAGCACAGCTCTGGCAGAGCCCCATACTCATATAGGAAAGAAGAGGAAACCCATGAATTGATTTTCTCTTGGTTATCATGGCTAGCGATATTTCTCGTGGGCACATGGTGCATAACAGCATTGACAGAGTTGCCCAAGATGGTGGCCATACTCTAGCTAATAAGTTGACACAGACATTCACCCTTGGTTTATAGCATCCTTTTTTGATATTGGACATCCATGTTATGGTGAATTGACACCCGTCAAAACGAGGTATTTGCTGACCAGTATCAAGTGACCATACATTGACCGCTGACCAAGTTCTGGTTTTTGATTGCATCGCGGGCTCATGCCAGGTTAACTTGTTGTAAACAGGGCTGGGTTGTTTGGAAGCCAGTTAATGCTAACCCAGGATTAAAAGTTAATTGAAGTCTAAATTTTTCTTGTATACAAATATTTTTCACTGCTTTTGTTTTGTGTATTTTGAGATCATTCAAACTCAAAACAGAAGGCCAAAAAATATATACAGAAAACCTCACCATAAAGTTACAAAACTCCGAAATTGAAATTCTCACTTATCCTGGGTTAGCTTAATCGGGCTTTGAACAACCCAGCCCAGGAGCTCTACTTTTAGGCTTGGCTAAATCTATATTAATATTGTTTTATACTGTATAGTCTGAACTTGGGAGGCCACTAAGACGCTGCTTCACCCTACCCGCTGATGGGTTCACTTATGGAAAACCAAATGAAGGGAAGGACAGTGGTGCTGCTGATGGTGAGTGCAGATTTCTTTTTCCTTTCTTTCTTTTTAAATTATTATTACGGGCATGAAATTTTAATGAAATATAAGTACATTTGTATCTCTTCTTTTAGCTCTAGTATGGAGATCAGCTCCTCTCGCTCCACTTTATCTGAAAGAGAAAAAGGCACCAAGAGATTTTATTGGCTTAAACAAGGGAGCAGTTCAAGCAGGTCTCACAACAGCTCAGGAACATTTTCAGTATCGTGCGACTCATGACATGAGGAGAAAAGATTCTGGCAATGAGAAGACATCACTAAAGGTCAAACGGATACCGCCTACAATGGTATTCGGAATTCCTACAAAGTAAGCTATTAATCAAGATCTCAGAGGCATTTTTATGATTCTGATGTAAAATTAACCATTTTGAATCATTCATTGTCTAGTAGTTAGTCCAAAAGTTGTGTTAATAATATTATTGTTGTTTTTTGGCCAGGCCTTCAACTCCAGTTTATGATCTCCTGGGACACAAATACCAGGACCGTTGGTTAGAGGAAAGACGTAAAGCTGAGGAGGCCACAAGAGCTAGACAAGAGCAAAAGGTAATACATGCTGCTGATAGACTGTGAATTAGGTACTGTTAATGCCAGATGTACCTGTTCTATATTAACACAAAGTTTTCATCTGATCTTTAGAGACACGTTGATAAGACCATCTATGAGACAAGGACTTCACTGCTCCGAAAATATCAACCTCCTGTTGATCCAGCTCCACTGTGGCAAATGCCAAAGTTTCAAAAGGTAATTTATTACACTTACAAATTATGTAGTTTCAAGGATTATATACTCAGGTTTCCTTTTAGCTAAACCAGCAGCTATACAGAGACCAGCTATTCTTGAGTCACATTTTGTTTTATCTTCATAGATCCCAGCTTTTCTCAGCACCTTTAGATCAGACAAAGCCAAAGAGAGTGCTTTTGAACATCACTCGACAGACAGCACTTCACGCCAAGGAGCCTTTGGCCATGGAATATACGAACCTGCTAAAAGCTAAATACTAATAAATTGACCCTGATTGCATTTTTAACTTAAAGAGTGAAAAATTAACAGTTTACAACCCTTGCAAATAGTTTTTTAATGTTGTGGTTTAAGGCAAAGTCCTATAATTCTCTTGCATGTATCTATTGTGATGAAGATCACAGGTCTGGTGGACAAACATTGAGTTGACACTGCCTGTTCTGTATAAAGCTTTCAAACCTTTACTCTTTAAATAGCAACAGAGATATCTGCAAGATTGTTACTAGACTTTATAACAACATTATACAATCCTGGGAATTTCAAAGTACAATTATTGTCAACCTTAAAACTCAGTAGAATGTCAAAATGGCCTGTGATATGACATCTTATCTCTTTCTCAACACAACAAAACTGCTCAAAACAAATGTAATTTAATTACATTTTTCATAACATTAACTCCGCATAATTTTTGGTCTCTTTTAACTCTTGATCAATACACTTGCTGTAAATAATACCGATCAGAATGAAAAAATAAAAATACCAAATGAGTAGTTAAATAATACATCTGACTTCTGCAGAATTGTGCAACTTTCCCATGTCTTAAATGTGTAGTACAAATAATGTATCCTGTGGAAATAGTACTGTGTAACAAGGTAAATGCTTTTTAAAACAAATGCCTTCAGAATAGATTACATAACTGATAAAAGAATCTCTCACTAACCAAGGTCTTCCAGAGCAAATTTTGTATGATGCCTCAGGGTTGCCACAAAGTGTTAAAGTGGGAGGCTATTACCTTGGAGTATGTGGTTGATTTTGAAATCTTTCCTAAATAATCAGAAGAATAGCCGAGATGACAGGGTAAATGATTTAAATTTGCCATCACAGCTCACTTCTCTAGACAGCCCTGGACAACAGTAAATCACATGTTAGCTGTTTGAAACTTTCAGTCCAGTTTGCTTGCACCTTATTCAGGTATTTCCCTGTGTCTGACAATCACTTTCATAATCTCAAACAAAAAACTTCAATATCAAACTGGTTTACAAAATTTCACTTCCCATCCTCCAAAATTGAACTGCAAATTACCCCCCACCTTGAACAAGGTATTTATAGACCTAACAATAATAATAATTATTAATATTATAAATTACATTTATTGTCTTTGATCATGTGGTGTCAACTATTCCCTCATGATTTTCACTGCATTCTGCCAATGAAACAGATTATTTTCAAGTGAAAGTGAAAAATTGATGTTAAGAATTTGCAGCCACCCAGAAAAACAAATTTGAACATTCCATGAGGAAATAATTTCAATCAAACTTATCAGAAAGCCCTTAATCTGAAACTCTCATTAAGGAACGATTAACAATGCCAAATTTAACTTGGATGAATTTTCTCCTTTTAAGGGATTTCCTGTCCATGCAGATATTAAACTGGAGACAGATTTAAAGTTATGGCCAAAAATAATGTAAACTAACACTGGATTATCTGACCTTAGAAAACTACCCATCCATCAGGAACCAGACTAATAATAATCTTTATTGAGGAAACTTTCACGTACATGTGGTTTCGGATGAACTAAGACAGAAGGCTTATAATGCTACATGTGTATTTATCAGAGATCTAATTGAATAAATTTATTTACTTGGATATCAGATGGATAATCCAGTGGTTTTGGATTTTGTTAAAAATAATTTCACAGGAAAAAGACCTCTTACAGTACATGGTGGTTATGTTCATGAGTAACACCAAGCTATTATTTTGATACAAACTATAAATTTTACTGGAGTCTTGTCTTCTTTTGAGATGGTTCTTCTGAAGGCTCTTCTTTACTTGAAGTTTTCTCTCCTTTTTTGGGTGATCTTTTGAAATATGACAGCAATGTGCCAGCAACTGGCTTCTCTGTTTTTTGAGTTCTGGAAAAACACCATCATTCAAAAGTTACACAACAAAATTATGAGAAAAAATGCTTTGTTTTCAACTACCAAAGTAGAAGGTCTGTTCCTGGAAGTGACATCAGCATAATACAAATACAGGTTGTTAATGTTCAGAAGTGAAGAGAGCTGATAAAGCTCCGAAAGCTCTGAAATCCAATGTGATTTTCGTAATCTATATGAGATGTGGCACATGATGTGTCCAGAATGAGCAGGTTGCAGGCCACTGATTAAAAAGTTTAAACCGTTTCCATTGGTTGTCTCCCCAGCTAGTCTATTTACTTAGTGGACTATACCCAGTAACATTACATTATACAAGTAACCCCCAGGAAGCTGTATATGATTATAAATTGTATTGTAAGAATTTAATGCATTGACTCCCAGAGCTTTTTGCCAAAAA